TTGAAAGTGTTATAAAAGTCAAACCCATCCCTTCCCCTATAATTTGTGGTTTGTAGTAACACTTAGTAGGTGTGTGGATAAACTCAACATAATTAGCATGCATCACTTTGTGGGAAGTTGCATGGGGAAGAACCCCAATAGCACATTTGGTTCTGTAAATTCTCTCCATATGGAAAAGTTTTTCCTTTTACAAAAGGAAGTTGATAGGGTCACGAGTTATCATTTTCCCAGTAAGAGGCAACATGCTGTTTAAAGTAATATTAAAATAAAAAATTAAGTAGTTCACACTCAAAATCCCAAAGAAACTTACTCAGAGGCTAACCGTAATAGCTCCTGTGTGTAGTCAGTTTGTCTGGAACTGTAGCACTACTTAACATTTCAGCTCTTGATCGTGCCATTTAGATGCAGCTCTTAAGAAAGAGACAGTAAGAAAGAGGAGCTGCGTCCTTTCATCTCCGATAGATCAGTGCATGGCACTGCAGAGAAGTTCAGTAGATTGCACTGATCAGGAGTCAAATAGCATTACATTGTCCGCTTGTCAGCTTTCAGCATGCCTTCTAAGCCTCAGGAAAGAATAAATACTTTAATGCTAAGTAGCTTTTCCTCTTCCTCCAGAGGAAACATTAAATAGTTAAAAGCATTAACTATTGCATTTTGTAGCTGTTGCAGTGCTATTTAATTCTATGTAGTTGCAACAATTTCTGCTGATAGAAAATATGCTACCAAGAAAGTGGCAGAAAAATGCTATAAGGAGACAACAGTATATGCATACTGACCAGAGCAAAACAAAACAATCAAAATAAAGACATGTGGAAAGTTTTACAAAAGCAAGTTGCCAGCTATTTCACAGCGTATGCTACAAACCTATCAACAGCCATCAAAGTGCAGATAAACTTTTGCTGTCATATTTATTCCTAAACCTTCATTTCCCTTAAGTAAAGCATATACGGACCAGAATATCTGTAAAGACTGACTTGGGCATCTGCATGATCTTACACATCCATTGGACTGACTATGTGTCTAATGTCACTGTCCTCGAACAGGCAGGGGTCACCAGCATCGAGGCCATATTGCTGAAATTGCAGCTGCGCTGGGCAGGGCACGTCTCTAGAATGAAGGATCACCGCCTCCCCAAGATCGTGTTTTACGGTGAACTTGCCACCGGTAGCCGCAAGAGAGGTGCCCCAAAGAAGAGATATAAGGACTCCCTGAAACAATACCTTAGCCTTGGCCATACTGACTACCATCAGTGGTCCACCTTGGCCTCCAATCGGGAGACTTGGAGGCACACCATACATAATGCCGCTGACTCCTTTGAGAGTTCACGAAGAACTAGTCTCGAGGAGAAAAGACAACGCAGGAAGAATCGTGCCCCACCTGTTCCACCCAAGGAGACCTTCTGCTGTGCTTTTTGTAGCTGGATTTGCCTATCCCACATTGGCCTTCTTAGTCATCAGCGCACTTGTAGTAAGCGTGGGTAAAAGCCCTTCCCAAATCTTCGTTTGTGAAGTCAAGCCATGATGATGAATGGTAAATTTAACACACTGACTTGTTTCTGGAAGATTGCAGCTATTCTAAGTCCTTAAGTAACCTGGGAGCAATGATCATTGTTAGAACAGTCAAAAAGCTAAGCTATAGTTCACCATATCTAAGTCAGTAGGGCTTTCATATAAATTATACAAGACCAAGACTTAAAGAGAATATATTGATCCTGATGTATATGGCTGATTTTCACTGAAAATCCATTAGCTTTTTAAAATAAAAATAATAAAGAGAATGCAAAGGGTCCAATCACCACGGCACCCCAACTGGAATCACAGCAGTCTCTTTTGGCAGATTTTCACAGAAAACAGAAGGGAGTTTTGAGTTTGGGCAGGACTTGATCCACACTGACATTTAAGCATATGAAAAAAAAGACTCATCCTGCTACCTGAAGGGAAGTCATGCTATAAGACTCATAGGGGATGCAACTCTCTTCTCATCCTTCCCCTACAAAATTGCCAAATTCAGTGATGCTCCCTCCTGTGCCATGTTACCTCACCGTTACCCCAGTAATAGCCCAGCAAAGAGCACATCACACAGCTACCCTTTCTACCCTTGTATAGCACCTAATAATCAGTGCTATTGGCACAAACATTCTCACAGGTACAATCCTCATTAGCTATACATGGCTACTGTTGCACTTCATACTCATGCATCAAACAGACGATAGTTCCTGCATTTGTTTAATTATGTAATTAAGATGCAATGCGTTTGCATTACATCTCTTTTAGTAGAAATCGATCAATTAGTTAAAAAAAAAAAAAAAGACTAAAAATGAACCAACTGGCAACATTTCACCTGATAAACTCAGGAAGAGAACAGAATGCACTGGCAATTTTTAGCAAAGCTCAGTGCAACTGAGGCACATGGAGATTAAAAATATTCTTACTCTCCCATTGAAACTTATATAGTGTTGAACTACAACAGTTAATTTGGGGGTGTTCAATCCAAAGGCTATTATAAAAAGGAAATATGCTTAGCTGATGCAACATACATCTTAAGTCGTACACTTGCAGAGTTGGATACAGACAGCAGCACACATCCTTTGTGAAGTTATCTCAGTATACAGAGGAACTCATAAATCTTAGAACTTCCAATAAGAGCAAAAAAAGAATCTGATGATTTCAATGAGGAGCAGAAGCAAGTTTCCTTCCTGAATGGAGGAGCTTAATTTGTGGCACATCTGTAACACTGTTTACAGGAAGATTTCAGTAACTGTGAAGATAGGTGCACTGTCCAGTGCAGTTTGGATTTTTTGTTGTTTGGTTTTGGATTTTGTTTCATTTTGGTTTTTTAAATCTTTTCCCTTATGCCAGGTGCTTACAGTCAATCCTATTACAGTCAATACCAAGGGAAAAGGGGAAAAGTTTGATGCAAAACAGCAGAAAAGCAGCAACCTAAACCATAACAGACTGCAGCGCTGTATGTCAGAGCAGACAGTGGCACCCTCATGAAAGGCTTGATTAGACAGAGCTGTTTGAGAAGAAGGAAAGACGTGCATTCCTAATACTGTTGGGAAATACAGTGAAAAGCTGTAGAGTTGCCACTGAGTAGCAGAGATATGCCAAGCATTACCATGGGGATAAATCTAAATGGGATTACACTTCCAGCTCCTTGTGGAGGTTATAATCCCCTTCTTGGAGGTGTGGCCAAATTGTGATTAAAACTAGAGAAAGAAGGGCCAAGAGTTGCAGCCACAGTGACACTCCCTCCAATACTTTTGGAAGCACAGGTAAAAGTCACTACTTCCCTATTATACAGATTAACATTTTTTCATCCCAATAACACTGCCTGCTGCAGCATGAGCTGACCTATCACAGGTACAGAAAAGCAGAGTCCCTTGCTTGTTTTGTTCATTCCTTGGTCAGTAATCAGTGTCATGTCATCCAGTGTCATTTCCTTAGTCTCATCCAGTGCATATTCAACTTCTGGCTACCCAGTTGATGATAGCTTTACTGCTAAAAGAGCATCACAGTATCCAATGCTCACTGTGGTTTTCTGTGTGTACTTTCAAACAGATGGCTTGAGATTCACTCTGATACTTCCAAAGATGAATCTTGCCTGTTTCACAAAACTGACTGCATACCTCTATACCATGCATAAAGGATCCAGTTTTCAAACAAAAGGGGTTTTCCTCTGCTAAGTAAGCTGCAAATATTTCCATCAGCACTGTCTTTGCTTCTCTGTTGTTGTTCTGTGCATCTGTAGTCAACATTTTACTCTTTATAAGGCCTTTAAGAACTAAACCCATTATACAGTCCTTCAGTAGCTCATACACATTCTAAATTCTGATGAATTCAACACCCCCTTACAATAAGAAAAAGAAAATCCTAAAATTATTTAGTTGTAGGAAGGAAAACACATCTTTATGGATTATAGAAATAAGATTTTTAAATAAATGCAATTGATGTTGTTTTGAATGGCCAGAAACATGTGGAAGAAAAAATACTTTCTCATTCCAGAAAAAATCTGACCAAAATTGATAGTTGTTTAAACTAAAATACATGCCAAGCAGCTGAAGCTCAGTGATGATACAAAAACCTCACAGCTGATAGAAAACTATCCACATACAATTTATTTAGGAGGATCAGATTCAGTACAGAGCAAGGAAAAGAAAAATAATTAGTATCCTAGATAAAGTATCCCAGTTTCTTCAGTCACTGAATGTAATCAGTGAACTTTGGGAAAACACTGAGTTTCCAGGGGAAGTAGATACACAGACTTAGCTGCAAGAAAAGCTTCTTTTAGGAGCCTGACCAGCATGCACATACAAACAGACATACCTTAATAGTTGTTCTTCATCTGAGCATAGCTGCTTTCAGTTGCATGGTCAATAGTCTAAGCCACCCATTTACACAGGGACTCCTGCTCAAACAACTAATGCTCAGAATTGTAGATCACTGTCAAAAAGCCAAGGACTACTACCCTCTTCCAAACCTGGAAATGCAAAGACAGCTATAGCTTTGGCACTAGGGTGGGAAAGGGCAAGAAATTCTCAGAAAATGTGAGCAATTTATCAGTAAAATCATGGGGTAAGATTTTTTTCCCCCCAGAAAGTGCTAGAAACAACCCTGAGCAACTACCAAGGCAACGAATTATCCCATTATATTTAATTTTTACTCACTGTCTGTTGTCTTGAATAAATAGAGTCCAATCTTTATTTCCTAGAGCAGGAATGTTCTCATATAACCCAGTTCAAAGTGATTACAGCTTTCACAATTACAGGTAATGACTCTCAGCTGCAGGATCTTGCAGCCATCCAGACATGGTGAGATTATTGCCCTAAAACTATAAATGAAGAACCAATGGAGAGCAAAAGCCAAATATTTTCCATGCTCATGAGCAATCCTGGAAGCTGTTGTGTAAACACATGACTGTTTTATACACATAGTATGGCACATCAATATTTTAACTGGATTTGTGTTGTTTATCTCCCATATTCAAGTACCAGCAGTCTCAATACTGCATACGGTAGAAAAACGTTGCTTTTAAAATATAGTATGGGAGAAAATCCAGGAGCATGATGTCATTAACAGAGGGATGAGTCTGTTCTGTTCAGGGAGGGGCAGAAAACCAGAAGTTAGACTCATTCATACAACAGAGGGAGCTTGGCTGTTCCTGAAGACGTGTTGCACTGCAGTTACTTGTATCTGCTCAGTGGTGAATTTGCAGTCAAGGTATGTTTCTGCTTCTCTTTATTATGAAAAGGTCTCATTATTTAAATTCAGTATGCTTTCTTGCTTCTTGGAAATCACTTCTTAAATTCTTAATGTTTCTGGTTTAGTGACAAAAGAGCTGATGTTGTTAGTATTCCAGGGACACAGAGGAGTTAAATAATTACAGCTAATGGGGTTTTGTAACTTGCCAGGTTTTATAGAGCAGTAGCATTTACAGAAAAGTGCTTTATTTCAAAGTTCCCAACATATCAAAGCCACTGAGCTTTTCACCTGCCACAGGTGCTATCTGGTGTACGGACTACTGAAAGGTAATGATTCCTTCTGTTCAGAAGACATTTCATGGGCACATATTCTATCATCTCTTAAGAAAAAACAGAAAGTGTAAGCAGCTAACTTTGTTTTCAGCTGAGAAATTACCTATAAAATAGTGATAAGAAACCAGAGGCACTACTTTTCTGTACATACTGATAATTTTCTCGCTGTTTATTATTTTGATTATAAACTTTGTGTGGCAGGAACTGTGTATGTATGTGTACCTTACACTGCTTACCTGTTCGGTCTGAGCTGATTAAGTGACAAAGAATAAACATTTGAAGCTTTTTCTTACATTACAAAGAAGAAAAGTTTGGATGACTTTTAAACAGCATCATCAGTTCCTTTCTAACATTTGTATCCAAACAAAAAAATGCAGGAGGAGCATGATTTATAGAATGCTGATAAAAAGAAAGAAAACCTTAGAACTGAGGTTGTAATTAGGATCATACAATAAAAAGAACAAAGGTTGAAATGTATGCTATAAGTTTAGCTATTCCTATTCCATTACTCAAGATCCTAAGCAGCCATCTTAATCTAAAATAACAAAATAGTCATAAAGCTGAAAAAGTTCAAATAGTTTTTCCATTAGCATCCTAGTTTTATACACTGTACATACTCTTACTGGTACTCTTAAGGTAAGAGTATGCTTTCATCTTGAACAGCTGTATATATTTTCTTAAGGAAGCTAGAAGACAGCTAGGAAAAAAATCAGTTTTTACATCAAAGCCTCTAAGACTGAAGTATCAGGATATTGGGTAATATCAGTCATGTGTTTTATATCTTGTCTGCTGTTCTTTGAGAATGTGCAATCATTAAGAAGATAATTAAGAGAAGCACCTTTGCACTTCAGAATCATTCACAGACTTCTTGTTTTCAGCGTAAATAGTGAAAACACAAAGAGAAGAGGTAAATGTACCAAATTTAATAAAGATTTCAGAATAGTCAGAGCAGAGATAACTCCAGAAAATCTTTTTCAGGTTTTCCACTAGGTCCCATACATGCTAGAACAAGATTGAGTTAGTCAGAGTTACCTGAATATTTTGTACTGACAATCCAACAAAAAAACTGCCTTTCCTGCTTATTAGAGCTTCCTGAAATAAGGATCTCATTACTGCACTGGAACACAGTTTGAAATTCTCACGGCTATGTAATATTTTATATCTTTTCTCAGACAGAAAACAAGAGGAATTTGGGACAATTTTAGCACATGCATTATGAAGACCTTAAAATTCATTGCTTAAGAATACCCAGTGTTGTATAGTCTGCTTTTCATGGAAAGAAGGGAGTAAAAAGCTTTTAGAAACCCAAATCCCACTGTTTTGAAAGTCACAGTAGGAAAAAAAAAATCATATTGCAGGTCCAGGGTAATTCATCAGAGAACAGAGCTTTGCTTTCAAAATGAATTCCTTCCCAGTAACTACGTCAACAGCAAAGGCACACCTGCACTCATTAGCAATGCTAATCAATATAAAGTTTAAAAAAAACCCAACCCTGAGAATAAATGCCATTCAGCTAAAAAATCTGTTTTTCTTTAAAAATCACATAAGCCAGGCTTATTCTACTGTTACTCATGGGTTTTCTGAACTCTCTCTCAGAACTCCATGTACTTGAGTTTCCTCTACCTTATCTAAAGGTTTCTTTTCCTTCCTTCTTGCATTTAGCATACTTCATGCATCCAGCTATCTTTGTGCCTCTGCCTGGCCAACATGCAGCTGTAAAAAAACATAGTACTTTAACTGGAGTAACTCTGAGTGAATAGGTAGCTACTAAAGAATAACACCCTTTGTGAGCACCCTGTGGGTGCTGACTCACAAGCCCAGCCAGTGGCAGGCAGATGGCTGAGCCAGCTTCTCCCCTCTGGGTGCCCCTGACCAGGGATGGAGTCAGGAGAGGACACCCCTGTACCATGACAGCCCTGAGGTAGGTAGGCTTAACCACATTGGGAAAGAACAGAGGGTAAGAGCTCCACAGCAACATTAAATTTGGACTTTGCAGACTGCTGTCTTCATCTTCGCACAAAATTGAACCTCCTAATGATCACCACAGCGGTGATACATTTACTTAGAAGAGATGCTAGTGCACTGGGAGTGAGGAACCCTGGTCAAGGTCCAATGGCCCACTAAGTTAAATACTGGATAACAGGCACAAATTGGATACAGATCACCAAAAAACACAAGGACCAAAGTTGCCTGCTGAAAGCATGCTCACTTCAGTCTGATGATAATTAAGTCCAAAGCGTTCAGACGTTGTGGCAAAGCTGCTACATCAAACTTCAACAAAATGCCTCAGGACTCTTGATGCTCCCTGAAGGGGTGGATTTGGCTTACTTTTGCTGCCGTGCTAAGTTTACCTCCTCTACATGTTAACTCCTCAACAAAATTCAGCAAGATTGGGCTGGTTTCTGTGATCACTGCAAACAAATCTGATCATCCAGGTATGCAGATCTGGCATACTGAGGTATGCCAGAGTAATGACAGTGTTGCAAAAAAAGGCACACTTCAGCCTATGGCAAATTTGCATACAAAGGAGCTGTCAAAATGCAGAAATCTCTCTCTCCCATTCATGTTATCTGAGATTACAGGTAAACTCCACAGAAAAAGAAAGTGAGCTATGGTTAGAGGTCCAGGTCTTTTTAACATTAACAGGATTTATACATGTGTGCCTAGAGGCAAAATTGGCCGTAGAAGACTTTCCTTCTGCAGTGGTCCTTCTTTGGCAGAAGGGAGTATGCTGCAGGCATTCTCTTCAGGACCTGCACCCCTGTGTCTCCAGAGGTGCTCAGCCCCTTTGCCATGGTTATATAATTTCCTATCAGCTGTGTGACTGAAAGGCAGCTACTACGGAGTATGAAACAAAGGCACCAGGTTCCCCTCAAGAAGGGTGATGTGAGCCCTCTGCCCACACACACGGAGCAAAGCAATAACCCAGGCCACTATTCTGATAAGAAGGGTAAATGACCTGCAGACAGTGGGCAGGCCAGTAAACTGGAAGTGTACCAGCAGGTCACTTGAGTGTTTTCACAAGAAACAACTGTAAAGCCTTCCTAATTCGAAGGTGGGACCTGATCCTTGAACAAGTAAGTAGGAAGACAGAAATATTGCAGTATGTGTCACTAGGTTTTATGTTCACTAGATTTTATGTCACTAGGGTTAGTGCATCTCTCATCTCCTCCTCCAGCAGTCTTTCCATATAACAAACTATATTCTACATTATCTGTATTATATTTGGCTTCTGCTTAGATTATAAGATCCTCAAGGCAAAGCCTGTCCCTGTGTTTGCATGGCTATTGCACATTGATTATCATCGAAGCCTCCAGTCATAAGTATTACACAAGACAGTATGACAATATCTGCAGAGCTGTGCTCTGGGTCCTACCTGCTAGATCAGGACAAACAGCACACCAAGTAAACGAACAGATAAAAGGACATAAAAAGTGATACAATTAAGCACACAGGCTAGATCCTCAGCTGTACTGAATGCTCACAGTGCCATCCCCATCAGCAGAGTAATGACAGGTTGTAACAAATGATGTCTTAGATCTATTAGCAGAGATGAGCGATTTCTTCACCAGTAACCTGCTTACTAAACATGATAGCATAGCCACATCATTTTTCTGCCTTCTTTTTCCAGAACGAAAGATCTGTGCAAGGCTTTTTTTCCTAGCTGTTAAGTCAGGAGACAAGAAAAGAGAAGAAACTATGCAGTGGGTGTTCCCTTAACTACCACAACAGTTAAACTTTGCTATGGGACACAAAATATGCTCCAAGTCAAATTTCAGCCTTTGTAATTGTGCAGCTTCAGCTCAGTGCTGAACTTCAGCCAACGAATCTTACAACCAGTCTCGTGTCATCAGTTTATTTATTGCGATGGTTTCATCTCAGTCTGTGGTATCTCAGCTTAAGTATAGATCTCTTATTTCTTTATTTCATTTCTTTATTTCTTTAGACTGAGCCACCTAAATCAAACCTTCCAGACACTGTTTGCACTCTGCAGAGCCCACCCACATGCTCCTCGTACAGGAACTCGCTTTACCTGCCCAAGACCAGCTCACAGATGGCTGTTCTCCTTGGCATCACCCAGAAAGGTTTGCTGTGCCTGGTCCTTCCAGCACCAGGTGCTGGAAACCTACAAACCACTTTCTCCAAGAGAAAAGAGCAAAACAGCAGGCAAATGTTTGTGGCACTAAAGGTGACTAGGAAACGTTTGCTTTGTGGAAATTCTGTCTCCTCTGTATACAACACGTAGACATGTGCAGACACACACATATATACACCTACATATGGACAAACATAGAGATTTATTATCACCTTGTCAGAGAAATAAAACACGTGTTCCTCTGCATAATCATGTTATCCATGTCCTACCCTTTCCTAGGGAACAATCCTACAAGGAACCACTACCACTTTCTTCCTCATTCGCGGATTTTTACTTTGTACAAAATGATCAACAAATATTTTAATCAGATATTTCTGATGTGTCCCTCTATTAGGATCAAGACCATTGCATTTGTTTATTTCATCTTCTTTGCTTGGCCAAGATCTTTTGGGTTTCTCTAGTTAGTGCTAAAATTTCTAGGTCACAGTGATCTGGAACCATCCCTCATAGGCAGATCAAACAAGCAAAAGCAGTTATCTTCTCACAAGCCTTCATTCTGTGCAGACATTTACAGTAGGTAACAAAGTCAA